AATTAGGAATAATTGGAAAAGAAACTAAATCACTTTTTTGATAATTCAATGTGTATTGGAAAGTGCCAAAGTGGGACAATGTAGCAATGTATGTTTCAGTGTTAGAAAAGTCTCCCACCATGTTTTGGTGAGCCAAATAACCATGGCTTTTTGACCATGGGAAATTTGGTGTCAAAGGCTTGGATGATATCTGAAGAATACATCAGCTTTTTGTTTGCTTTATTGGGTGGTATTTTTAATTTACTTCATTTGGAACACTTTTTTAAAACTGATTTATACCCTACATAACATGCATGGTTACATTGCCACACTTTGGTGCTTTCCAATTCACATAGAATCATCAAAATTGGTTGAGTTTTGAGCAAGAAATGAGATGAAAGATAAAGTGCAAATTTTTGAATTTCAGAGTTTTCCTCATATTTTGTAAATAGCAATAAACAAATAAGGTGCTGATTTTAGTAAACACAAAAGGTATATGAGCTTTCAGAGCAATGACAATGGCCATTTTACACACACCTTTGCACTACTGGTGCCAAAATAACTAAGCAGATTTCATGGAGATATGAAGACCATCCATTATTTAAAAACAAAAAGCTCTATGAGCTCTATGAGCTCAGTGAGCTCATAGAGCTTTTCAAGTAATGATGCTGGCCATTTAATATGCATTTCCAAAAATGTATATACATATTATCTTTGCACCCCTGCATCCTTAGGAGAACAAAATCATTCAAACATTCAATTTTCTCCACCCAATGTGTAGAGGGTGCACAGCAAAAAGACTCAATTTGCTCACAGAGCTCTGTGAGCTCTGAGAGCTCCCTACCAAGTTTGCTGATGTGAAGGTGTCTGAACAGGGACAAAGGGATGACAGAAGCGGAGCAGTATTGAAGGTCATAGGGCAGAACCTGTGGTACATCCAAAAGGAGGTAAGGAGGGCAAAGCCCAGAGGGGCAGGAGGATGAGGGGAAGTGGGGATGATGACTAACTGGCTAGAATGGGAAGAAGCAGCAGTCCAAATAGGGATGAGGGGGAAACGCTGAAGGAGAGAACAAAGGAAGGTCAGTTGGGAGGTTCAAACGAGACCACCACCAAGCTGTTCCCTGGTTCTTTAGTTAGGATGGGGAAGTGTACTAGTATTATTTATTGTAAATATAGTACCAATCCGAGTGTTTTGGCTAATTCTATTTTTATGGGTTAGTTTTAAAGTTCCTGGGAATTGACTTACAGATAAACCGAGCCCTGCGGAGCTGTTTCTTTATTGAAATTTCTTAATTTGTCTAGGTGTAATTCTGAGTAGCGTTGTTTAATTTGGATTTAAACTTGAATTTAATCTTCTACTTGGTGAAGTTTCAAAGATTCTATTCAGTTAATGAATTTGGATTGTGTCTGGAGTGTCCCTTGGGTTTGTTTTATTTTTGTCTTATTTTATTGCTTGTTTTAACAGTAGCAAGATAACTGTTTTGTGTTTACACTTTGAAATCTGGAGTGTTAACCAGCTCTCCTGTTGAAATATCTACTTAATATTTCTCTCCTTAATTGCTGCCTTTTACTACAGTGGCAATCTTAACTGTATATCACTTTTTCGCACTGGAGTGACAACCAGAAATGCTTGAGAAAAATAATACTCTATTTTCTTACTTCTCTAAGGGGGGGCGAAAAGTTGCAGAAAGGGTCTCCCTTTTATACTCCTTGGGTTGCCTTCCTTTTTCACGCTCTACCTTCTATTTACAGGATTTATTTACAGTGTATTTTTCTCAAACTGAATAAAAAATGAAATTTTCACGCTATAGTTCTACTGCGCTTTTGCTGCGCTGAACTGCGGTTCTACTGCGGTCAGACTGCGCCTAGAATCCTTATTGTCCTCCCTCGCCTAAGCTATTTTAATGGTTAATTAGAACTTGGCTGCGCTGCATTTGCCGCAGTTACCTATTTCAAATTCCCTATATATACCATTAAATTTGCTATGACTCGATGATTCTGAATTCAAACTTCGCATTACTATGCGTACGGCTGTGCTGAGACCTTCAGCTGATTTATTCCATTTTTATTTAGTGACATTTAGTTAAAATGAGACTGAAATGGTAAATGAGTGAATTTTTCAGGTTTAAAACTGAAACAAAAAGTTGCTAGTAGTCAAGAATTACTCAAACGAATGTGTTATAGCTCTCCACCTCATTAGAATATCGTTCCCTAAAATTCCCGCCATGATCCGTCGTAGTTTAGTGGTTTTCATGAATTTCGTTCATATTCCCTGATTCCATCACATCCTAATCCTCCATATGTATTGTTCGTTGTTATAGTAGGTCGTCCTTGAAGATATCATATTTTTATGTATTTTATTTAGGACTCTGGACCTCTTGAAGCTGTTTTCCCGCGCATTTTTCAGGTTTCTAACTTCATGTCCCTATATCTCATTCATTTCTGGATGTTTTCTCACGTTCTTGGTATCATAAATTTTCATTTATTCCCACCTTTCCAATGGTACTAAGGTTGTGTCCTATTTCCTGGTATTCGTTGAGTTAGCAAAAGTTTGCGCGCACATTCGGTAATCACGTGCGTCATTCCCATAGTCATTCATTATGCGGGCGCTGTTTCCGTTTAATTGTTCGGGATTTATGATATGCACAGGTTTTTATTTCTTTCATATGGGCTTCTGTGATTTATTTCAGATTTTTCCCTCATGATCTAAGGTTGTTTTGCACTTTCTGTGCTTTGTTTTGACCAGGCTCTTCCTTATTTGGATGGAAATTGGTCTTCGCGATCTGCCGAAGTGCGGATCTTGGTTCCGACGGCCGGTTCCCTGCACATCGCCACCCTCACGTGTCATTACACATGATGCGGATTTCTATATTCCCGTCATGGGTATAACTTCACAACGGCTGGACCATTTGGGCTGAAAATTTGCATAACTATAGTTCCCCATTTTTAATAATTTCCGTGTAAATTTCGTTGTATGTCTTAATTATGGATCCTACGCAAACATCATCTTTTCCCTGAGCTCGGACTTTTGATGTCGCTATTCCCGTTATTGGATATCTCATTAACGCATCATCCTTTTATTATGAAAATTTGGGAGGATTAAGATTAGATTCCTTCCTTTCTAATGGCCTATCAAGCTTGTCTCGGTCGTTACTGGTTAATCTTTGCGCTTGCCTTTTAGATATTGTCCTCGTTTTGCAGGAGTTTTAGTCATATCTCCGTCGTTTATGGGTAGTTTCCCCTGTAATTACTCTCATTGGGTCCGTTTGGGGGACATCTACATTTCCTATTATAAACACGACTTTGAATTTTGCATTAGTTCCTGAGGAATCCTTGTTCCGTGGTACTTCCATCCTTGGCTACGTGTGCGGACGTGGGAAAGTAGTTTCCGTGGAGGTTCTCTGATTGTTTTTATAGTCAAATCTTGGTCGATTGTCCTAATTCTTGTTTTAATATTTGCTATAAATTCCCCCGGGAATTCCGTCTCGTTGATGGTAAGCTTGAAGTATTTTTGCTATTTTTCTTTCTTTCGATTTATTGCATATAGTCATAATAATTCGTAAAAATTCGTAAAAATTCGTGTCCTTCAGTTTTCTTATATCTACTTGTCGTATGAGGTTTTGTGATTTATCTGGCATATTTCCATAATGGGTTTCCATAGTGTGACCGTTATTTCTCCTACAGCGGGGAGGTCCCAGTGTGAGGGACTCGATGGGACAGGTGTCGGTTATGCATAGTGGTGGTCCCGTCGCAGGGTGAGTGTCCCTGACCACTTAGTCTGAAGTGGGAGGCTGCTTCTTCTGTTCCCACCCCAGGCGCTATTATATACAAGCGGTTGGGGTCATGTGGGGGGAGCCATGTCATCTCCACACACAGCTGCATCTCCCTGGGTATCTCCATGGGAGATCCCGGAGGTGTGCCACTCTGTAGGTGGGAATGCGCGCAGTGGGTGCAGCGATCGGGGGAGCAGGGTTAGGTGTGTAATGATACATAGAGAAAGGGAAGTCAACCATGGAATAGAAATAGAGAGAAAGAAGAAAAGGGGAAAGGAGGAGCAGGGAGTGATAGCGGGGGAAGCGGAGTAGGGCGGGGCAGCAGTGCAGCAGCATGGGGTCAGGTGGGGTGTGCCCTGACAGTTGCCTAGCAGAAGCGGGGGTGCACTTGTGGATGTCGGAGCTGTCTGGAGACCTTCAGAGTTCCATACTTAGGGAGGTGTAGTGTAAGGCCAGTTGGGGTGCTGGCCTGGGTTGACTCCTCAGTCCTCAGTAGTCGAGATCTAGGCTGTATGGAGCTTATGATTTGACTTCGGGGTGAGGGTAAAGAGTGAAGAACCCTTTACCTGAGCCTGAGCCATACATATGTAAATACAGTTGTTTACATTGTATACAAAGAATAAAGAACAAATAAAGTAAGCATGCAAAGTGTGCACCACCACTCCACCACCCATCCCTTACATGTAGGTAATATATTGAAATGGGGGGGTGGTGACCATCAGGGTAGCCGGGGGGGATTGTGGAAACCGGAGGCTCCAAGGTTAGTGATGAAGGAGTGGAGACAATCTGGAAGGGCCAGAGGTGGTGGAGGGTGATGGCCATGGATGGATATGACAGATCTTCCCTCTTTTTTCCTTTTCATTTTCAAATGCTCCAGGAGCTCCCAGAAGCTTCTCACCCCTATACACTTTGAAGCATTTAAATTGTATTTACTGGATATGTTTGTGCACAAAGCAATGCTCCATGCCCTCCTGGGAGTGCCCTGGAGTGCCTGGCCAACTCTGGAGGAAATGAGCTGTTCCTGGACTGGCTAATCTCCTCCTGATTCTCCCAGTGCTCTCCATACTCCGGAGCATTCAGGAGCATAACAATATTTTGCTGATGTGCCCCCCGAGGCACACCATCAGCAACTCCTTTGGAAATTCACTCAACACCTCTGCCATCACCCATCCTTCCCATCACCCTCCAGCAACTTTGAGAACTCTAGGGACATCCAATGTGCCTGTGTCTATGATGACATGTATGTTTTTTTGCCAGGAGTGTGGTCTGACAGAGGCTTGGGCCTATCTTTGGAATTCTTGGTACAGCAAATGGGATCTCTGGGCACGATCCTCCTGTGAATCTCATCTCTCTCATGTCTGCACAACCATGATCACTGAAAATCACTGGAAGTGTCTAAAACATGGCTATCTTCGATTCAAAACACGCTCACCACTTGATCAGACTGTTTACATCATTGTCTATTCCACCATTAACTCCTATATTCATACATCCCACTTTCTTGAGCCTGACTGGCACCTTGGCAGGAGCCGCCCCCTCACAACTTGGCAGCGAGCTTTCAAGTCTGCTTGGAATGAACTTGAAAAGAGGCCCATCAGCAGCCGCAACTATAATACCAATATCAAAGACTGGACCTGCCACTGCGGTGCACAAGCCACCAACACATTTCACCTTTGCAAACACCTCATACATTCTGCTGGGAAACCTCCTATGGAATTTTGGGAGGATATCCACCGACGTCATGTTATGCCCCTGTATCGGCATACTCACCTCTGGAACCGTGACCAAGCTGCCAAACAAGGCGGTCTGATGGTGATGACTAGGACCAAGAAGGGGTCCGACTTAGTCTAGCTAGTCTCAAACCTCATGAAATCAAGCGCACTCACTCATCCTTAGCAGATCCGACTCAAGATTTGAATCACTCAGCTAAAAAGGTAAAATATGACACTTCAATCACTCATGCTGACATCTTGATTCAGGCACGCATGGATGTCAACACCAATCTCACCCCTGCTGGCAATGACGAGGTTGTGAATCTCCATGGCAGTGATTTCTCGGATGAGGATGAGGTGAGGTGGCATTATTTCTTGCATGGTTCTCACACTTACGAGTTCAAAGATTGCCGAGCTGTGAGCTTGTTTCAATGAATTGGGGGACTATCTCATTGAGGCTGGAGAAACTGTCCTCCAACAAGTTGAGAAGGATGAGGGTGTTTGGATGTGGGGTATGGCAGGTCATGATCTGACTCGAAAAGCAGGGCCGATTGTCGAGGAATTTGTCAGAGTGATGCGCAAAGAAGAGCGGAGTGGAATGGAGTGGAATGGTTGATCATACCTGGCTCCGGGGCAAGAGTCGCCGTGGCCGACAAGCCAACCTTGCAATGTTAGGATCCCATACCTCTAGTGACTGGGATTCGAATCTGGCTGCCTCTTGCTTCGAAGGTGACAACGATGCCGCTGATCAATCTGTACCTATTTTGCAAGGGCACTTTCACTGTTCACTTTCATCCACCTTCAGCCGGTAATAGCATGTCATTTTGCTTCTCGTGATATGATGTGAGCTCCTCTTAGCTATCCTTGCCCACTTCATTGTGCTAACTCTGGACTTGTTGCAGCCCCGTTGACTATTTCATTTTCCCACTATTTCGCCACAATACTATGTATTTCTTCTCATCAAATCCCCAACTCCACACTCCTTGAGTCCGATTCACACCTTGCGACATATGCTTTCTCTGACAAAGGAGTCAAGCAGGTTCTTAGAAAGAACAAATTAAGAGTCGTGAAGGTAACCTCGAGTGCAAGAGATAGGACGGACTGAGGTTGCTTCTCTGCAGGATTCTCTGCTGGGTCCGTGGAGAAAGCTTAGATGGGTGCAGAGAGATGCGAAGGGTCCTGATCCTCATCAACAGTGAATGACATTGTTGAATATCACTAGTCGGGTATGCAGTGCACGCTGTTGTGGGGACAAGTCCGTGCAGGTCAAACCAACCCTTATCACGCATTTCACCCCCTACTGCATCAGGGACTAGGATTGGTGAGTCGTGGTAATAGTAGGAGTTGTAGATACTGTGGAGGTGGTTCTGACGAGTCCAAGATCGTCGGATTTGGTGGAGTGGTTGAGGAGATATTATGATCTTTTCTTTATTTTCCTTACTATTTTCATTCATTCACACATGTGACTTTCCTTTTATATTTGTATCGGACTCTTCCATGACAACTGTACAGACAGTTAGTTAGAGGTTAGACAGAGTATCAGCACCGTACTCAAGGACCATACCTACCTGAGAGAGAGAGACCTACCCCCCCTAGACCTGAGTTGTGAGTCTAGATTGATAGACCCGTTACAACGCATGCACAACATCCCACGACTACTCTGACACCACCTCCCATCTTGTCTGTGCGCCGTCCCAGTTGTAGCATAGCCCCATTGTACTATAAAACCTTGTAGTCAAAACCTAAGGATAATATCTTTCAATACTTACTTGAGCTTGAGTCCCTCGTTAGTGTCTGAGTGTTGCCGTTGAGCGCCTAAAGTCTACTCATAACAACAGACTGGGGTAACAAGTCATTTCACTAGCCTTATCACATGCACAGCATCCCACGACTACTCTGACACTGCCTCCTGCCTCGTCCGTGTGCCGTTCCACATGTAGCCATACTATA